AACTAAGCTTCCTTGACATTCACTCATTCCCTCAACTGATTTTCACCCCCACTACTCTGTGTCAGACATGCTTCTAAGTTGAGGCCGTGACAGTGAACAAAACTGATTAAGAAGGAAAATTCACCCTCACAGCTCTGAGGGTCAGGAGTTCAGCACAGATGCTGCAAGCTTGTACCTCTTATTTGGGGTAGGGTGGGTGTTTGTGTCCTCACATGCACAACCAGTCAGAGCATCAAATCTTCATGATTCTGGTGGATGTTTAAGGATAAGTATGTGCTGCACACAATGTTAATGTTGAGACTCAATGCAGTGGTTAATAGATAGGTGGCAACCAGGTATGGGAGAGCACACCTATAACCCTAGCACTCAGGAAGTTAAGGCAGGAGTACCACCACCAGTTGGAAGCCAGCCTGGGCTCAATAGTGAGACTTTGTCCTAAAGAACATCAAGGAAGAGGAAGAAGGGAAGAAAAGGTACCCCACCCCCATTTCTTTAAAAACTAGGTTTAAGCCCCACAGCTCCAAGGACTGGGGGGGAAGGGGTGGCAACCTGCCTGAGCATCAATCTAACCAATAAGAAGACAGAGCCAAAAGGCAGACTGCAAGACACTGCTCAGGTCCCAGCAACAGAGCCTAAATCTGAAAAGCCTGGGTTTCTCAGGCCAGCAAACTGATTTATCTAGTTATCCTGCTTAAGGCTTGAACTTTTTGGCAACTACAATAGCCTCAGCTAAAACACAAGTTGTCTTTTGTATAAAAGACTATCAAGAAAAAAAAAAGACTATCAAGACTAAGTAAGTCAGAGACTCTTTAATCTCATAAAGGCAGCCTCACCAACCCAGGGATAAGGACCCCATCACAGGCAGAGCCAAGCAGGCCCTCCTCTAACTCAGGGATCTACTGATGAAAATCCGGGTTAGATCCCACAGTGAGCAGTGGATGTCTGCTAATTCATTTACTCTTTCTTTCTTTCTTTCTTTCTTTCTTTCTTTCTTTCTTTCTTTCTTCCTCCTTCCCTCCCTCCTTCCCTCCTTTTCCTCCTCTTCCTCCTCCTCCTTCTTTTTGAGACAGGGTTTCCTGGAACTCAATTTGTAGACCAGGCTGGCCTCAAACTCACAAAGATCTGTCTGCCTCCCCAATTAAAGGCATGTGCTACCACGGCCTGGCCATATTCCTTTTCTTTTTTGGAGAGCTCTAGTCTTCTACAAAGACAGCAAGCTCTTTGTTCTTCAGTAACAGACTTTTCTCTCCCCCATGACATGCTGATACAATTAGAAATGGATTAACAAATAGGCCAAGGAGGCCCAAAGTGTGTCCCACGTTTGAAGAACACTTGCACATTTTCTTTATTATTATTTCTTTTCTGCCACAGGATTTTATTCCTACTGAGGAGTTAACAGCAATACTTCTTCCCTGAGGAATGTGACCTTTTGAACTACACCTCAAAGTATAAAGGAAATTAAATAAATTCAGATTTTTCACCCTCTTCCTTTTAGGCAGGAGAGGCAAACTAAAGCTGGTTTCCTGGTATTATCCACGAAAGCAAACTCTCCATGTGCCAGGGGCGATAAGAAGTGCTCTGTGAACAAATAGGCTAGGAGAAGGCAGCTGGGACCACAGGACCAGGGAGATGGCAGCCTTAGTACTGCAGAAGTTCCTAGATCTGGGAGAGCAACTTCACAGGCTAATTCCCAGGGCTCATGAGAAAGCTGTCTTAACTCCTGAGCCTTACCCCCTGAGGGTTTCCTGTGCCCTTTTCACCATAACTGTCAATAATGCAGGGGAACGGAGATCTGAGACACAGGTTAGTCATTCAACACGTACATACATTCTAAACAGTATGTTAGACACAGTAAACATATGAAACTTTTATTTGTCAGTTATTAAAAAGAATATGAAAGGAAGTTATTACCCAAACCCCAAGTGTCTGAAGACAGCAAAGGGTCTTATCGAAACATGGTATTTGGGATGAATACAGAAGTTCAGAGAAGGCTCCAGGGAACGCTGAGTTAGCCTGAGGGATAGGCAGGAAGCCATTGGTGGCTAAGAAGGAAAATGTCACACCTGGCAGATGTGATGAACAGCTACTTGGGAAATACAAAGCAGGATGGGTACACTTCAGTGAGAATTCGGAAATTATACAGATGTGATCCCCAGTCTCTGTTCATCTTTAAGCTACATCCATGCTTTGGAAAAGCCTCTGTGTCTTTCAGAGATGAATTTACTTTTAATGACACTCTAGACTTAAATGATGAATGTGTCTTTCAGAGATGAATTTACTTTTAATGACACTCTAGACTTAAATGGTCACGTCTGATGAACACAGTCAATGCTCCAGCGTGGGAACACTGATGGGGATGGAGAAAGTAGGCGTGCTGAAAGGGGACATTACACGCTTTCTTGAGCAACCGATCAGCTGGCTTTCAAGCCAATTCCAAAAAGGAAATAACATTAAGAAAAAGCAAACAGCAAAATCTATGAAACAGGAAAATTACTTCACTTTGTTGTGCACAGAGAGCTGCTCAGAAGGCATGCCTGAACTCCACCTTTGAGGATGAACAGGAACTTTCTAGACAGATGGCAGCATATAACTGGAAGGTGTGCTTTAGAAAGGTTTCCTGTGCTCACAGCTCCCTGGAGTTGGAAGATGGGACTGAAGGTAGACTGCATCTGAGGTGCTGGTCAGTTCACCCCTCACCAGTTACCATGTGAGTTTCTGGGGGTGAAATGGGAGAACTTGGAACAAGACACACCATGGAAATATGACACACACTTTTTTTTTGTAAATTTTGGTACCTGCTACACCAACATCTGCCACTATTAGCTTTCCTTTAAAATTAAGCTTGATAACTGTTTTTATATCTTATTGTAGTGGTTAGAGTAAGAACGGCCCCACAGACTTAGTCATCAGGGATCGGCACTACTTGAGAAGGTTTAGGAGGTGTGGCCTTGTCAAAGGAAGTGTGTCACTGGGGGTGGAATTTGAGGTTTCAAAGCCCAAGTCAGGTCCAGTGGCTCTCTCTCTTCCTTGATGCCTGGGGATCTGGATAGGCCTCTCAGGTACTTTTCAAGAACCATGTCTGTGTGCCATCATGCTCCCTACCATGATAATGGACTAAATCCCTGAAACTGTAAGCCAGCCCTAATTAAACACTGTGGTCATAGTGTCTCCTCACAGCACTAAGGCAATAACTAAGGCATTTATATAGCCACCAAAGAGTAAAGTAACTTGAATACCTTCAGAGAGAATGCATATATCTGAATAACAGAGTACAGCAACAGGAGAAAGGCTCTAGAAGTGACTGACTGTTCTCCCCACATTTAGACAGAAGCACATTACACTGCATATTTGCTGGCCTCATTCTTTTATTGTTTCGATCCTGAGTTCATTTTACTGCATCAACATAAAAGATCCCTAAAGGAATTATTCTTGGTACTTAAAATGTACAGTTTACCTGTTGGTTAATTATTAAGTGAACTGGTGGGTTTGCTAGGCTTCCTTACAGGAACATGGGGAGGGATTACTCACAGGAATGCATGTAATTCTAAGACAGCTGCATCTCTGAGAAGTCCCACCCCATCATAGGTCACAACCTAATAGACTGCATTGCCCAGCCCTGACCTCAGTTAACTTTCAACCCTCCTATCTACTCAAGCACCCTCTGAGACCACGTGAATGAAGGGCAGCAGGGTGTGGGTGGTGGAACCCCAAGTGGGTGCACGTGACCCTCCCTCCTCTGCATTCACCAGGGAGTGTTTTGAGTTTCTAAAATTAACATACATATTTGAGTACATATTTATTCAAAACCTACTCCCTCTTCAAACCATCACAGCATAATTAGGGATCTTCAAGAATCAGCTTTAAATTTCTGACTATCCTGCATGAGCTTAGGTTTATTACGCCCCACCCCACCCTCACACTGATTTTTTGTTTTGTTTTGTTTTGTTTTGTTTTTTTCTTAGTAAAAGTGGGTTTCTTGGGACTGGAGAGAGGGCTCAGAGGTTAAAAGCACCTGTTGCTTTTGCAGAAGACCTGGGTTCTATTCCATGTTGGCTCACAGCCATCTGTAATTTTAATTCCAGGGATTCCAATTCGCTTTCTGACCTCTGCAGGCACCGGGCACATATGTGGTATACATATATAAATGCAAGAAAAACACACAAACACATAAAATAAAAACAAATATGCCCTTCATATACTAATACCAAGCTCAGTGTTCACTTGAGTTTTTTTAAACCTCTTTGTGGAAAATATAATATAAAGGGTTCTAGGAAACAGAGAAGGAGGTTTGAGACAATTTAATGATAAGGTTAATTTTAGAATTTAAAGCTACTGACCCATGGTTAAGTCTAACTCGTTTAAAAAACTGAGAACTGGTATCAGTCCAGGGAGAAGCTACACACTGTTTGCCACTTAGAGAGCTTATCTCAAAGAGTTTCCACAATTGCTTTTTTCTTATATTACCCCAGGGTCAAGAATTAAATCCCACACTATACTGGGTATGCAGACTAGCACCTGTCATGACACAAAGAGAGGGACATGCAATAAAATCAGGGCAGTCTTCTTCAGGCCTGGAATTAATCAGAATTAGAGCCACGGAGAATCCTGAGTTGAGGAACTCTAGTCTTGACAAATCCCATGACACAAGATGCTATTTACAAAGACTCAACAGCAACACCTTCTCTGAGGGCAAGTCAACAGTCCACAGGCGACAACATACAATGCCCAGTGGTGAAAATTGAGCTTAATTCCCTGCCATAGTAAACTGTAATCTTTTTATATGACATTGGTGGTGAACAACAACATAGATGTGGTACATTCAAATGACTTTTTAATTTTTAAATACTTATCTTTTCTATTATAGTATAAAGAACAATGAAAATTTAAAATGCTATTTTAGCAAATATGAGCTTTACACATTAAAATAACTACCATATACATTATCAAGCTTTAACATTCAGCTGTTTCTGTATATTGAAGTATGTAAAATCATATCTGACCTGGAAGTACTTCTGACATGGATCTCTGGGTGTCAACAAAGGTGCAGGAAACGGGTTATAATTTGCAATCTAAAATTGAAAAACAAAAAAACATTTGAGAGGTTAGAACCTCAAATAACAAAGCATAAAGGGAAACAGGCACAGAACTAAAAATCCTTCCAAATACCATTCAAATTAAAAGAAATTGGTAGATTATGTGATTATGTGTAAATGTTTGCTGACTTATAACTGCTCATACAACTTTTTACTTGAATTTCAATTGCCACATAACCGCCTTTTCCACATTAAGATCTCTGCCCATTCCAGGCATGTCTGTCTGTCTCAAGCTTCCAATGCTTTTTCAAGCCAGACACACACAAAGCAGAAGGCACTAAGGAAAACAAAAATCTAGTGAACTTCACCTTTTAAAAATCAAAACCTGCCGGGTGTTGTTGGTACATTCCTTTAATCCCAGCACTCGGGAGGCAGAGGCAGGTGGATCTCTGTGAGTTAGAGACCAGCCTGGTCTACAAGAGCTAGTTCCAGGACAGTCTCCAAAGCCACAGAGAAATCCTGTCTCGAAAAAAACAAACAAACAAAAAAACAAAAAATTAAAACCTGACTGATAAGAAAACAAAAAGTAGTAAAAACCATAATAATTTTTTTTTAATACCTGGAAAAAAATGACCATTAGAAGAGGATTACCTATAGGAAAGGTTGCTTGGAATCATTAAGAAAAATAGGAACAAGTCCTCGGCTGAAAGGGGAGCAAAGGATGGAGATACTGTCCAATGAACATGAAAACACCAGTTGATGGCAACCTGAAGGGACAGTGGCGGCTCTGCTTTGTAAGACTATAATGACTGAGAAGCTAGACAATGTAGAAAGCAAGGCAAGGACACAGGAAAGAAGAAATGTCAACCTTCCTGGTGGGATTAAAAGTCATCAAACTTTTTGGAGGGCTACTTGCAAACATCTATGGAAATTTTCGATGGGTGGGCCCCACCGATGGGCAAGTCCACGTCTAAGAATGTATTTGATAGGTATCTCATAAGGATTCTACTGTTCAATGGCCATGAAAACCCAATAATGACCACACTGTTCTTGGGTAGGCAGCTGGCTCACTGCATTGAGAGACATCTACACCTCAACCGAGCAATGTGATGCCAATAGGGGAGACGTAGTGGGTCTGGGTGTGCAGATAAGAAAAGCATATTAAGATGTATCACTGAGAAATAAATATTATGCACGGTGTAACTTGAGTAGAGGTTTTTATTTATTTATATTTTCCACATTACAATGGGGGCAGGAAAAGGTTGCCCTCCACTATTGCTTTCCACCTTACCTTTTGAGACAGATTCTCATCTCTCAGTGAACACAGAGCTCAATAAGTGGTTAGATTGGCTGGCCAGTGAGCTCCAGGAATTGGCCTATGCCTCTGCTTCCCTCTACCCCATCTACTTCTGCCTCCCCAACAGCCAGCTGCCAATGCTAGGGTTACAGACATGCGCAACCAAGTCCAGCTTTTATACAGGTGCTAGGAATCTCAACCCAGGTCCTCATGCTTGCATAGCAAGCACATTAAAATCTCTTAAAGCATATATACCTAAGTGCAGACAAACATACACACATTTATACAAACATGTATTTTCATAGAAGTTTTCCTAAATAGGTGCTGAGGAGATAGCTCAGCCAGTGAAGTACTTGCCATAAAAGCATGAGACTTTGTTTTGATAACCTAAACCCAAAGAAAGAAAGAAAGAAAGAAAGAAAGAGAAAAAGAAAAAGAAAAAAAGGAAAAGGAAAAAGAAAAAGAAAAAGAAAAGAAAGAAAGAAAGAAAGAAAGAAAGAGAAAAAGAAAAAGAAAAAAAAGGAAAAGGAAAAGGAAAAAGAAAAAGAAAAAGAAAAAAAAAAAAAGAAAAAAGCTAGGCATGATGGTGTATGCTTTAAATCCCTGTGCTGGGGAGGTGAAGACAAAAGAACTCTGGCCAGCCACCCTAGCCCAATTAGCAAACCCCAGTCTCTAATGAGAGACCTTGTCTCATAAAACACATTTCTAAGGTATTCACAAGGCTAACCATTAGTCCATATGGGTGCTACAGCAAGTTCAAGCGCCTGGGGTGGTGTGTGTGTGTGTGTGTGTGTGTGTGTGTGTGTGTGTGTGTGTGTCTGTGTGTGTGT